GCGCCGGCCCGCAGGCGCTCCCATGCGTGAAGCTGCCGGCCCCTCAGAAGGAAAGGAGGCGCAGGGGGGCGCGGCCCCTCTGCAGCCGAGCCCCCATGGCGAGGCCGAAGAGGCCCCCCCTCGTCAGGAGCGTGGGGCCGAGCCCCAGAAGGAACGGGCAGAGGTTTGGGCCACGAAAAGGTGCGACGCGTCCGTGGCACTCTTTGCCACGAGATGGATTAGGCCAAGAGCCCTCCAGGACCTGCGAGCTGGAAGCATCGCCACCCTGCAATGCCAGCCCTGGGGGGCTCTTCCAGGCTCCTGAGGCAGCACCGAGGGGCACCAAGGGTGGACCCAGCAGGAGGTCACCCAGGGAGGCCCCCAGGAGAGCCAGAGCAGGGGGCAGCCTTGGGCAGGTTTGTGAAATGGCTGCCCCCAGTGCTGGGCTCGAAAGACCTTTGCAGAAGGCAGATGAGCTTCTCCCCACGGCCTCTTCCACTCCCACCCCAGTGATGCACCGGGGTGCCACGGGCAAGGCCGAAGGCCAGCATGCTCTGGGGAGGATGCCTCTGTTTGCGTTACCGAAAGAAGAATCTTGGCTACTGCCGTTGGCAGCGGCTTGATCTGGGCTTGAGGACCAGGAGGGTCAGATCTAGTTAGACCTCCAGGGAACACAGGGTGCAGGCATCGAGGGCGAGGGAGGCACAACAGAAAGAACGACTCTGAAATGGCTGCCAAGGAAACTGCAGGCGTGTGTCCCATAAGTGCCCAGGAAGATTTTATTTTGGAAAGATCAGGTAAGGCAGGGACACCCTGCTGCCCCCCTTGTGAGGTATCTGCAAAGTTCTCGGCCAGCTGCTCACCTTTCCATAAGGAACTGTCTCCCAACAGCCTGGCCTTCGCAGCGTGCAAAGCTGGCACTGTGATGATTCTGCCGTCTTCGCACCCACAGACCAACTCCTCGAGACTGGAAATGTATACCGAAACCGTGATGGTGGCTCCCCAGAGGCGATCAGGGGTACCTTCAGCTATCTGACTGTGGACGTTGAAGTCATCCTGCAGCGTCCTGGATGCTGCTACTGGGATCCCTGCAGAGAAAAGCCAATGAGATGTGAACGATGGCACCTTCCCGTTTGTACCCTTGAGAAGAGCCGGGTCCCTCTAGATTAGTACCCACCAAATGCCTTTGGATAGAGCATAAGCAGAACATGGGCACAAACACCCCCTCTGGTTGGCATTCTCCACCCATTGGTGGTGGAAGACATACTGTTTCTCCCACTATCCTCAAGGTAGCCTTGAGTCACTAGCCAGTGACAGCCTTATTCCCCAGGAATTTGGCCCAGCATTTTAAAGCCATCCCGAATGGTGTGATAGTAAACTCTGACCACAGGTGTGGAAAAGAAGCACTTCCTTTCCTATGTCCTGGTTCTTCCCTGGATTCGGGCAATCTTGAGGAGAGAGAGAACTTTCTCTCCAGATCTTCTGTCACCTGCATATTCTAGACATTTTTTCAAAGCAGAAGAGTCCAAATGGTGCAAATGTTTTCTCACAGAAGGTTTATCTTGTGAAAGATAAGATCTGGTGAGAAGCCACTGCCCCGTGTGCTGTCTCCCTTCCCAATGCCTCTATTATCTAGCAGTGATGTATATCCAAACCCAGATCACCCTTCTGAACAGAGCAGAGCGATAAGTAAAGTAGTAGGTCTTGGAATTTATGCTAGGAGTTTCCCATCTTCACCTTTTGCAGTGCAACTTCTGAAATAATGAAAAAAAATCTTAACCTTTTGGAGAGCCATCTAGCGTTGAAACAGGCACATCAGGAACATGCCATAAAGTAATTCTCCCAGAAGCTTGTCCAGAATAAAGAATCTTATAAAAGGGTTCCTTCCTTTCGTTCATGAAGCCCATGATGTAAGAGAAACTCTATTTAAAATAAAATCCCAGAAGAGGAGTTGTGTTAGCTGACTTGAGGACAAACAACCAAGATTTCTCTGGCATCTTTGAGGGTCAGGTTATGGGGGCCCACAAGTCCCTATTCACAGTTTGCAGATTACTTCTGCCTCTTCTCCCCATCACACAGTCTCTTGTGTTTTCCTGCATGTTAGTGCAGTGGTCAAAGAAATGCATACCTTTACGAGATGAGATTGATATCACAGCTCTCCTTAATGCTTCTAGTGTTCCTCTAGAAGCTTGAACTACCATTTCCATCCCACAGTTTTATCCATGAAACAGCCTGAGACTGAGAGTGGCCTCCAATCACTCCCAGGTTGTTCTTTAGCTTCAAACACACAAATTTGGAGATGTGGGAAGTGTGAACGAAAGTGAGCCATTTTTAATCCTTTAATTTCCCATATGGAAATTTGTGTGTTTGAAGCTGAAAAACAACTCCAAAAGCAAATTGAAAATCCTTTGTGCAAATGCCCCAAGCTGATCTGCAGTTCCTAGATTTATTTGCCTTTGGTTGGTAATGGTGCTTGCTGTCACGGAAACTCCATGAAGCCTTTAGGAACCCAGCCAACTTACCTCGTTATCTTCCACATCAGTGGAACAGAGTAAAACTGGATAGACTGTTTCTTTCAGCGCCCTTCCTTTGGACAGCTGGATGCTCCGTGAAAGACCGCTATAGACACAGGAAGGGGGAGTATCAGTCCTCTGGCAACACACGTCCAGGGTGGTAAACTCTGTTAAACGTTGTGTCCTTCTGGGAACTGCCCCAGCGGACATGGTCTCTCTCGTGCCTGCCTAGGCAATGAGCAGCAACTGCCTGACCCAGAGAAAGGGAGGGGTCCCCCACTCAGGACCTCAGAGTTGCGGAGGGTTTTGCCCTCGAAGGGTTTCCCAGGTCAAGCTCCTGCTGCTGCTCCTCACTGTGCTCCTGCAAGCTCCCTCACACTTTGTGCCTCACCTGTTCAGCAGCTGGTAGATGTAGCCGTGCCCGTCTTCGGTCCAAATGATCAACCTGTGAGCAGCGAGAATTTCCCCCCCTGCCAAGGACCGGCTGCTTGGGCTAAATTCAGTCCACAGCAAGCAAAAGTCACAGTAATCATACACCTGAAGCCAGAGACAAAGAGGGGGAAGGTGACTCCGTTTTTACAAATGGGGGATGGGGGAGTTTTCTCTAGTTTCACGTACAGTCTATCCACTCTGCCCAGAGTCCTGCACCATCCTCTGCTTCACTCCTATCCGAGAAAGCAACTGCAAGCATGGGAGGAAAATGAAGCAGAATTTGAAAGCAGGACACACATGAAGAATCTTTGGGCAGTGGAAGATCCGTGTGTGATGGAGGGAGGCCTTCTGGTACGTGCCTAGGCAATGCGGGGTCTTTTTGTTCAGCGAGTGCACTGGACAAAGCATTGGCACATCCTGGAACATCCTGGCCAGACAGTTAATCGGCTCAGGGTATAACAGTTCATTCATAAAACTCATTCAATCCCTGACGTTGGTAGTTGTTTCCAGGCAAAACCACAGAAGGAAACACCCAGAATAACAAGATTCATTTTGCAAAGGCAAGAAAATTCTGCTTCAGTTGTGTTACAGTAAAGGAATGAAACGTGAACGTTCCAATTCTGGTATAGGTTTAGTTTAGTTCCTCAAATTAGGGAAAATGGATCTGTGTTGAAATCAATAGCATAAAATGTTAGTTTGGTCTATTCATCGTTATCGTTTTGTAGGACTTAATTCTCTTATTACAATTTGTATAGATGATGATGATTTCAGTTTTCATTCATCCTCTGGATTTTCATAAGCTCTTAAAGTTATCTGTGAAGGAAATGTATAACCAGTACCTTCCAGCAGGTAGAGAATACAATTAAGAGAAGCCTCTCTGTATAGGTGCAAAATCGGATTGCATTGCAGAGCGTACAATCCAGAGACTGGGATTCTCTTTCATAAACGCTTTGCTTCTCCTGCACATTGAAAGAAAAATAAAATGTAATTTGGGGGAAGAATAGAAAAAAGAAAAATACCATTGCCAGTCATCACTGAAGTTGGGCTACTAAGAAGATAAAAGTTGACTCAGTGGGAAGAATTTACTTCTCCCAAATATGTGTATTTGGCTTCCAGGTATAACATCAACCAGACTTAGTAGAAAGAGTGGAGGGATAGCTGGGTCTTGAAAAGGCTTGAACTCCTTTTCCAATCTATTTACTTTGAGTTCTTTTGTGTAACAGCATGCTCTCAAGGCATGGTGACAAAGTTAAGGGGAGCATAAGGACCCATTGCCAGTTCTCTTACAAGATTTCAACATCTAAACAATGATGCCTTGTCTCGGGCAGTTTAGGACTTTATGAGACTTCCATGACACACTCCACCCTCTTATAGGTTATGTGAAATAAAACCCAATACATGAGACCAAGCACACAAAATAAACAAAAACAAAAACAAACGCAGAGGTGGTCCATTGATTGAAAGACTGATTTATATCTTTCCCCATATGACTGACTGATGAAAGATTTTATACTGGAGTCACCCTTGTACTAAATACAATGTCTACAGAGGACCTTGTTGGCAGGGACATCTTGTGATGGAAGAGGGAAGCAGTCCAGCACAGAAATCACCTTTAACTAATATGTCCCTTAAATTTGCGGTTCTTCTGAAAGTGAAAAGGGATCGTTAATGCATCTGACATGTCCTGGAATAACCCCTATGTTCCTTTGTACTCCTACAGAATAGACTAGTTGCGTGGTCTTACATAGAAGGCCACATCTGATCTGGGGCAGTTAGAAAGTTGTATATATTTTCTAGTTTGGAGTACATGTGTTTTAAGACTTGGATTCTTCTAGGAAATTTATTCCAGAAACACAATTGTGACCCAGTCTTAGGAATTGTTTGTAAGATAAATTATTTTCTAATTATTCTGATCTGTCTTGGATTGGAACTGTACCTTTAGAAAATCTGACCTGGGTTTTTTTCTATAATGTCCATGTCATGTCCAGGAAATTAATTTGCCATCATGTTTAACATCAAATATTATCACTCTTTTCTCCTTTGCATTCAGCTGGAGCCCTGGGGGATGCAGAACTTTCCAGAAGTTTCAACACCACGTGGGCCCTCTTTATGTCCACTCACAGGGATGTTTCTAACCATCCACCATCAACATTTCCTGACTGAAGAAAGAGAGACTGGCCCGGATTATGGGCCTTTGCTGCTTCTCACCTGAATCCTGCTGACCGAAGATGACAAATCCCAGACTTTAAGGTCTCCTGCTGCAGATACTGCTAGCAAAGAATCCTCTGGAAAAGCAACAACAGGAGGCTGTTGGAGAGCCAGAAGCAAGGTGCATGGGGGTGGTGTGAGATGTGCTGTTCTCACGTGCCAGAGATGACGGGGAAGGGCCAAGATCCTGCCAACACAGCTACTGTAAACTCAGCCTCCAGGGAGAACTCTCGTGCTCCCCTGCTTTATGTCTGTGGGTGGCTGTGCCCATTTGGGGTCCTTGCAGCTGCCCATTCAGAACCTTCAGAATTTATGGTTGCTCTTCCCCTTGAGAACACAACACCATCCCAGGATTCCTAGGGTAGGCAAAATTGTTTCTGCACCCAGCAGTCGCGATGTTTCCTTTTAGGACAGCCAGGGCCTAAGAAGTGCTGGCCACGAAAGAAAAGGATCCTCCAGCAGCAGGGAGATCCTGGGGTAGAGTCAGCCTGGGAATTAAACCATGAGCTGGCATCACTGAGCCCTCCTGACAAGGATGTATCCTGCACGTCTCACCAGCTGAGGTAATTTCAAAACAGGCTTGTGCCCTCCCACTCACCAAAGGGATTCTACATCGACCCTCCTCCATGTTATCTATGGAGAAACGCTGGTGATAACCCCCCACAGAAGCATCCACTTCGCATGCTTTTGACAGCACATATACCTTGAATCCTCAGAGAATGCACTAAGCACATGCAGCTGATCCAGTCTGAAGAGGAAGAAGAGGTTAATGTGTGAAGAACAACCAGGGTTATCGCATCAATAATGAGGATGTCGTTATACTGCCCACAACAGAGCAGCCAGCCCTCTCCCGTCATGCGAAATGAGCTGTGGTAATACTGTACAAGGGGAAAAAGCCACAACAGATTAGCTCGCAGGACCAAAGCCACTGAGAAACACATCTGTTATCCTGACAGTGACTCCTAAGAGACGCAGCTGCGCGAGCATTAGCACCAAGAAGCCTTCACGAAACAGCATGCGCCCCAGAGAGGCATGGATCAGGCCTAGAGCGTTCTGCCCTCTAGTGGCTGACCAAGATGATGCATCTGGACAGCTCACAAGCAGGCAGGAGTACAGTAGCACCCTAGCCCTAAAGCTGGTCACGGATCATCTCCAGCCCACGACGAGCTATAAAGGGAGTCCCGTGGACCCCTTTCCATTCCCATTTCAGTCTCATCTATGTGCTATTCCAAAGATACTCCTTCCTGGCAGCTGCTTGTTTTTCTGCAGAAAAATGCAAGTGTGCCAAGGAAATGCACCACTCCTTGTTCACAGAACTGAGAGATCATGCACAAGGGGAGAAGGGACTTCTCTTTACCTCTCACCCATGAGGCAACCAAATTGTATGAGTGCTACACGTGCCTGAGTTCTGTTTATAAATGAGCACCCTCATTCTAATTTTAAGTTGGATACAGTTAAACAGGCACTGCAGTACAGAAACAGGTTATCACAATAAAATGATTTTGAGGCCACTGAAGATCCTGAAGCCCCCGTCGCACCTTCTTGTTTGGTGCTATCCGTAGATTCTGTTGGAGGCCGGTGGCCTTCTCTCTGCTACTCCAAGCCTATGGCAACCTCACAGGTAGGTTCGTGGCCCCACTGCTAGACAGACCAGCAGCAAGAGCTGGAAATGTGCTCAAATGCATTTCCAAGGCAGCAAGAGCTGCATGCTCTCTTGGTGGGCCTGCCTTGTCCCGTTTGTCCCTTCCTTTCAAAGTCAAAGAGGGAAAGGCAGAAGCTGCAACAGCCTCTGCTCAGCACAGTGCAGGAGAGTAGCTAATGGATGTAAGTCATCCAAAGAAGAAATAGCATGCCAGGTCTGATCTGAGCATTCCTGGGTCTCCAGTGCTTACCAGAAGTCATGGACTTCTGAGCACTTTTGCTGAGATCTTCATTCAGTTGTCCCCTGCAGGAAGGACAGCCTTTACTCAGATTTTTGAATCAAAAATGTAGGTATAAAACCCAAGCTGCATTCAGTTTACTCCTTGCTCTCCTATGTAACATTTTAAAATCAAAACTACCGGAGACACCAAAAAGACCCATGTAAAAAGAAGCTGCTGGGGACGCTCCTCAAAAAACCAGACAGAAGGATGTTTCCTACTTACACAGATGGCTGTGTGCCGAAATGGAAGCCTTGTATTCTCTACACACAGTCCACTGGTGATGTCCCAAATGCTCATCTCTCTGCCAAAAGAGCAATTGATCATGTGCTATAATTTTTTATCAGAGGACTGGAATAATCATTTAATGTGCCACAAGAGTTTTTCTGTATTGTGAACTAGATTATAGTTGGACGGTTGTTTGAACATCCTGGAGAGTTTTAACACCTGGGCCATCAAGTCTCTTCTATTTTGGAAATTGTACCCTGCTGCTGAAGTCTCTCTTGCAATGCAGTTCTTATCAAGGGCGAAGCAATTATGGTTTCCACTGCAACTCGTTAACACGTCACATCAGCAATCGTATGTTGAAAGATCAGGAAACCCTGTTCACTTTGCCAAACATAAACTAGCCAAGGCTCTTCTGTAGAACATGTGCTGTTTGGGACAGATGAGGCTCCGTTATAAAACAGGGTGACCCCAGGAAGACAGCAGCAGCATGGTCAACATGCTTTACAGTGCCATTCCAGAAATTATTTAGAAGATTATGGAGTGTGCTTCAAATTAATTCTTGAATGAAGATATATAGAAATGTTTTAACTTCTCTCATCCCATGCTTGTTCACATTCATATGATCCCCGCTGTATTTAATGGGGTTTACTTCTAATCAAGAACATGGAAGATTGCAATATAAATCTACTTCATTTGGTACTAGTAAAGACTCCCTCAAATCAGACTCAACTCCTGGTGTCATGACTACATGGTTGTAACTGCAATTTTCTTGACATTCATACAGAAGTGGTTTGTCATTACCTTCTGGGGTGTTTTCTTCAACTTTCCCAATTTAGCTTACAGCTTTGGATTCTCCTGGTGGTCTCTCTTCCAAGGACAATCAGGTCCCTGCTTAACTTTTTTCAAGATCAGCTAAAATTAGCTAGGTATTACTTTCTTTTTAAAAAAGAAAACTCCAATGCATATTTTAGCCGCTGCTTCTTCTGTAGAGAAATGGAAATCCTTGCAGCTTAATAGATTTTTTTCAGCTTGTTACTATTGCAAGAATCAGAAATAATCCACCCAGAGCCTAGTGGGGATGCCCAAGGCTATGAGATCTCTATTTTTTACCAACCTCTGCTTTAAAATGCCAGTATGGAATTTACTTCGAAATTTAAGCACAGAAGTAAGTAGATAAGGTGTAAATTACAGTGAAATCAGTTATTTTAGTAGAACATGAAAAATCACATTTGTTTTTTTAAATAATTGATAAGGCTCAACTTTCCTCGGCTATAGTGGAACAGTTCTGCCAATATCCACATGAGCTGTCTTAAAGAAAGCATGGCAAATGGTTTTGACCCATACATTGAATAAGCAACCTTGCTTATATTAACAGGTTCTACATTACAGGCATGTTACAGGGTTCTTGTGTTTCTGCAGAACGGATCATGGCTTATCCCTTCTTTGTATTTCAGGAGATCTGGAGCCTCCCACTGAGAAGGTCTTTCATTAAAACCTTCCAGGGCTCTTCTACAGCTTGCCCCTTTCTCAACTGAAATCTCTAGGAGATATTCATACCAGTCCTGACCTACATTAGCCAGAATTACTCCTACAGAAGAGCCACAAGGGACCAATGTCTATTGCCCAAAATAGTTTGTCTATTTCCTTCAACTCAGAACTTTCCATTGACAAGGTATCACGGGAAATGCAAAGTGACTGACCCATTCTCAGTAGCACTGACCACGTATGGTTGCTTCTCAAAATCCCTTGCCTTTGCCAAACATGTCACTGATGCTGTGTGCCCCAAAAGCATCTGCTTTGATGAAATCTAGAAGGGCAGAAAGGTAATTATATGACAAGGTCAAAGTGACTGATTTTCAACAACAGGTTACATGCTCTTGATTACAGAGCAGATAAATGGAAAACAGCATTCTATTGAGAAGAATTAAATGAGGAGAGGCAGTCATCGCTCCTCCCCAGCCTGTGGTATGGAGGGTGCTCCAAAAGGGATTGCTAATTCTGCTTGGGAAGGTGTTGCCCAGAGCTTCTGCAAGAGAGGGTCTTTCCCTCTGATCAGATATTAAACTGGAGATGGGAGCAGGCCTGGAAGGAGCCAGAAGGCTACCCCACTCAGCTTTTCACACCTGGAGATCTGGTAACAGGTCCCAAAGACAGACTTGGCCTTCGTGACTCCCTGTAACGATAGTTTTCTGGTCGTCCGTGATGAGGATAGCTGTGATGCTGTGGGGTGGGGCTTGTTTCCCCCACAGGGTCACCATCTGAACAGAGCCACTCATACTGACCTTGCCTGAAAAAAGAGGAAGGACATTTTTAACAGCAGGCAGAGAGAGGAGCTTTTCAGGACTGCATCACAGCTGTTTTCCTTTGGATTGTATTAATGCCTTTGAATACCACTTGTTCAGAGTTTTCCTTACTTGGAGTTTTTGGTTAGTTTAGGCAAGTATCAATCGATAGAATATAATGTCAGAAATACGTTAATTTTCTCCCTTGTCTAAAAATGGACAAAGAAACCAGACAACTAGAAGGGGGTTGGCCCCTTCTGTTCCACACACCTTCCTTGCCAGGATGTTAGAGTGAGTGGTCAATTCTGCATTGATTTTCATTTTGCTTTAGAATTAGTAGGATGAGCTTGGTTGCAAAAGGGACTGAGTGGGTAGAGTTGGGTCTCTTGGCATCCACCATAGTCAGCCATAGTCCCAGTTATTTTAATTGGGCTTTGGTGGAGATTGTCACATACAGTATCTGCTCTGCCCATGCCAGGCAGGGGTGCTTGTAGATGATGCAATAGCTGACTCTACTGTGCAACGTGCCACCCAGCTGTCTCCCCCCCTTCACCCTCCATCAGTGGCAGCTCTAGGGTGCTCTGCCCTCTGGAAAGCACCTTTTGCAATTGTAGCAATCCACGCTCGGCTAACTTTCTAGACGGTCGGTGCAATCTGCCCTATCCGAGACTACCTCTGAGAAAGGCCTAGAGACTTTAATTAGTCCAAAACAGGCTGCCAGGTTGTTGTCGAAGAGTAACCACGTAACTACTGGAACTCTACTTTATTGCTGCACAGTATAACAACAGACTCTTGGAAGCCTGACAGTTTCCCTCTCCCCCCCTTGTACCCAAGAGAATCAAGGTGGGGCAATGCTGAATTTCTTTCTCATTTCCTCCTCCTTTTCCAGGCTAAGCTGGTTTTAACCTAATGGCTGCTGAACACCTTCTTCAAGGCCATATCTGTACTCCTCTGCGGACATTTTGGATGGATGGATGGATGGATGGATGAGTTTTTCAATTTTAAGTTTCTTTGGGATGCCCTTTCTAAGCTAGGACCACTCAGAAAAGACTTCAGAAACAGACAAAATAAATAAACTGGACAATACGGAAATGTATTGGACAGAAGCGTAAGCCAGAAAACTTGGGTGGGTGATCAGCTGGCGCGAAGCCAGTCGGGGAG